GTGACAGTCGAGAGGACAGAGAGAGAGAAAAAATTCAGAATGGGACAGGAAAAGGAACAAAGAGGGAGAGAAATATAGAGCCATAAGGGATAGAGAGAGAGAGAGAGAAAGAAAAAAAGAAAAAAATATATATATAATTCAAAACAAACAAACAAAAAAAGGTCTCCCTCAGGATATGTCTCTGCTGTCCTGGTAGGCAATGTGGGCAGCAGTGTTCGGACCTAAGTCAATTAGTCTCAGCAACCCAGCTGTTGTCTACTGAGATTCAGGCTGATTTCTGAGATTTACTGAGATTTCTGGCTGCAAGGTCCAAGCTGAGGTCCCTGACCTCCTGCAGGATTAAACTCTGCAAGGTTCTACTGCAGGTTCCAGCTGTCTTCCCCCGCTATGCGAGTCCAGATTTCTACGGGAGGTGCTGATCCCACTAACTTACCAACCACGATGGTCCAGTGTGCTTTTATTGAAGAGTTTTTCTTCACTTTCCCAGTGGGCTTCAATTTTCATTGAGGAGCATCAGAAAGGCCCTCTCTGCTGTTCACTTCTGCTGTGTCTTCTGGAGCTCATAACCACAGTCTTTATGTTTCCCCTGGCACCTCTGCTGTGCAGATTCATTTGCCTTGCACCGTCTGTGTGCCGTGGTCTGGCAGGGCACAGGCCACTGGGGTCTGCTGGACTGGGTTCAAGATTGATTTTTGAGCACAAAAAAGTCATCATTTGACAGATTAAAACTACCCAATATGTGCCAAGCAAGATCTGTAAAATAATTCTACAGACAGAAAAATGAAAAAATGCAGAAAAATAGCTTTCAAATCCAGTTTGAGGTAAAAGATCTTGAGAGAAACCACCTTAAATCCCTGTCCACTGCATTCACCTTAATCATTCACTGTCATTACAAAGTCATCAATATAAAAGAGTAACAATGACAAGGAAATTGTATGAAAAGGAAATATTAATGCAAAGATGTATAAAAAATTGCTCAACCTCCAGAACAATCAGAGACATAAATTGAAATTATGATTTACTCTTCAAATGTGAAAATTGTTAAGTTTCACAAAATCAAGCACTGACAGTTATGAAGAAACTAAAATAATCACAACCTTTAATGGGACTGTATATTGGTAGAACATTAGAAATAATTTGACATTGCCAATAAAGTCTTAGATGGATAGGAGCTATGTGCCAGAAAAATTTCCCCTGTAACAACTATCAATCCTTGGGTGGAAGAAAACAGGGAATTATGTTCTTTCTCTTGCCTGTAAATCAGTTATATGCTCGCATACTTTTGTGTATAAAAGGATACAACAGTGAAAGGCAAACTACAAATGAAAGAAAATATTTGTAAATTATACTGGGATAAGGGGTTACTATCTAGAATATATAAAGAAGTCCTACAACTCTCAACAATAAAAATTCAAATCACACAATTTTTAAAAATGGGCAAAGGATTTGAATAGGTATGCCTCAAAAGATGGTATGTAAATGGCCAACAGGTATATGGAAAGAAGCTCAACATCAGTAAGCATCAGAAACACAAATTAAAACCACAATTACCTATTGATCACACCCACTAAATCGCCACTATTTAAAAAATGAAAACAAGCAAATGTTGGTGAGGATGTGGAGAAACTCAAGGCCTACTGCCCAGTTGGTGGGACTATAATAGGTGTAGTTATGGAAAACAGTATGATGGTCCTTCAGTCCACTTGAGTATATACCCAAAAGAGCTGAAATAGGTCATGAAGAGATATTTACATTCTCATGTTACTAGTAGCACTTTCCACAGTAGCTGAAGTGTGAGAGGAACCCAAACATCCACCATTTGCAACAAGAGTGACCATGCATGAAGCCACCTTTCACCTGTTACACAGGTCTCAACTCCACATCTCCATTGTCCCTGGGACAGATCTGCACTGTACCTTCATCTTGCCCAGGACTAGACAGGCCACCAAAGGGTATGTCTCTTGACTCTCCATGGGGAGGAGTAGGGAACCTTGGAGAATCTGATCACCTGCCTCCATATTCCTTCTATGCCTGACACTGGGCCTCTGTTCTGCTTCCCTTCACCTCCCTTGAGGGTCCTTCTCATGCTCCCCTATTAGACAAGACACATTTTCATATGGAGTTAATATTGATCTGCACTCCTGAGAATTACATTATAGATGACCCCAAAGTGCTAAGAAATTATTATTTGTGTTTCATAAGTAATGTGCAGCTCAAAGAGGATGAGTGATCTCCATTAGGTACTATGGCTACCAAATAGATGAGGTGAAAAGGGTTAGTCTACATTGACCTGGCTTAGCTCACCTTGTTCCCTCTATTCCTCCAATGAACTGCTGGAGAATGGGCTCCAGCATACTAAGCTCAAGACCATCAAGTAACTACACTGTGACATCTCTGGCTAAGTCCCTACTCAGGCCTCCCTCATAAACTGTTTCTGTGGACAGGACTATCACCATCAGAACATCCCTGACACAGTCATCAGTATCACTACAAACACATCAACGTCCCTCACAGACACACTGAATGATCATTCTCAAGGTTTTTTTATCTTCTAAATATCTCCACAGGATACCCCCTCCACTGCACTCTCATACTGACCTGTCATTGTCATTCATATTACTGACATGGCTCTTCCTCTCACCCACTCCAGCAGGTGCCTTAGTTCTGATTGCTCCTGTCCAGTCCCCTAGGTAAAATGCAATTCAGTGACAATTACTAATCCCCAAGAACATTCCCTCTACTTCCCGGGAGTCAGACTTGACCAACCATTCTTGAAACTGGTTGAATTCAGGCTGCCTTCTCCTGTGAAGTCCATAAACACACTGAACTCCTGCCCATTTCATGTCATGCACTTTTCCAGGTACACTGAGGTATATAGCATAACCAGCTCCCTGATCTTTTTCGGCACATCATCAAACCTGCAATAATATGGGATGGTGGCACGCTCATGCTAAGCAGAGCCTGCCAAATCACATCTGGTCCCCATAGTAAGCGAAGTATGTGTGGCTCACTCACCAGATTACTCAGTATCCCTCCCACAGATCTATCCCACAAATCTGTGGAGACTACCATGGTGTCAGTACCTACATCCTGCCTCAAAACTCCCTACTGTTTCATGTTCATCACATTTTCTATTGTTAATGTGGTATACACTCATGGCTCCAGGACAAGCTGAGTGGTATCACTTCCCACTTCCCACACTGACAGTGTACCACAGATGTGTATAGAGCACAAGACAGCTGTCATGGTGCCACCACTCACCTATGACATATGCAGTGCACAGTACCTATACTATCTTTCCAGGCTGTAGGCATATCATCATGACTTGTCCATTTAGAAAAGACCTTGGTCACCCAGCTCATCAATACCTGGTATACAGGAAATATGACAGTAGTGACATACTGAACAGAGCAATCTGATACACAAAATCAAGAATGAAGGGTTCATAGAGCTCTATAAAAATATTTTATATTTATGAATGTATTTGAAAACACCTACTACAAATGTTAAAATAGATCCTTGTATTAGTAATTTTATATGTTCATAAGGATAAATTTAAGGGCAGGAAATATTTGGTTTCAGAGATGTAAGCATGTATGAAGACACTAAAACATTTAAAGTATATATTTAATTCAATTATACTTTAGACTTTAAGTACAGGTTGTCACACTCAGTTTGTTCCAAACTCGTGTTCGAATACTAAGAAGTTTGAGGACTGAACATATTTTTCCCATAAGAAATAATGGAAAAACCAAAAAATTAGTTCTGAGGCCCAAAAATTACACTGACAAATTCATTTTTCTAAGACTTTAATAAATTTTGCATTTTTTTCTTTATTGTGATTCTGTTTTTTCCTTAGCTTTACTGCTGGTGTCACTAACTTTCTTTGGGCCATGGTTGTGATATTTTATGTAAATAAAGTGCAAAAAAAAATAAAGCACAACGATGAATGTTTTAATGAACTAACACAAGCACTATGTTGTCTGGGCAACACCCTTGTGTCTGTAGTGAGATGCAATGCATGACTCACTCTCAGCCTGTGTAGTTTTCCAGTCAGATTTTCAGTTTGACTATTAAGCAAAGTTATGAACACTGAGCAGATTTATTTTGAACTTTGCTATTCGATAGTGGAAAGTTCGAGCTTGGAGCCATAAACTATATTTAAATACAACCCATATTTAAAACCTGCCATGAGTATAAGAATATGTATTATCTATATTAAGGCCATTTGCAGCCACCCATACTACATGGATGGATACAAAACATAATGGTTTCTTACTAGAAACTCTTTTCTTTCCATGCTCAGTGACATTCTGCCTGTATAAAATTGGCTATAATAAAAGTATTTATACCAAGGAAAGGCCAAAAACCGAGGCTTGATTTAATGTATTATTGAATGTTTTGACTTAAGAAAAGTGATGTTAAAATGCAGATAGTAAAAATGCAGATTAAACTTAAAACAACTTTCTTGCAGTATTCAAAGACAGCTGTTCAAAATGGCAAAGCAAGTTGCATTATTAAAGAATGAGTGAAAGACAAGCATGTATCATTTTCCCCTATCTCCTTATGTTAAATAAAAAAAATTCATCATAGAAAAATGACATGAGCGCACATTTTCCAAAGATGTATGGCTGTCAAATAAAGATGAAAAAATGCTCAATATTATGAATTCTTTTATTAAAGTGGACAAAAATTAAAAAGACTGGCTATATTATATGTCAACAAGGATGTAAAGGAACTGGAATTCTACACTGTTGGTGGGAATGCAGTAGGGAACCACATTTACAGTGTGGTGTTTACTATGTTCTTAAAACATCCCTCTATGTTGTAACTCAGGCATAACAATTTGAGTTAACACAGGGAATAAAATGCCTGGACTGGGAATTTAGCTCAGTGGTGCCATGCCTGCCTCACAAGTGCAAGGTCCTGAGTTTCATCCTGGGTACCGGAAAAAAAAATGCCTATGTACTAATAAAAAATTAAAACTAAACAATAAGACATATTCACAACAGCTTTATTAGAAATATATAAAATCTATAATGTCCCTAAATAACAGAACATTACCAAGCAACAAAAATAATTTTTCACATAAGCATTATTTCTTAATCTCAAAATAACTGTGCAGTACACATGTACACACACATACACACTTAACAATAACAACAAAGTCTAGAATATATAAACAAATCTATTCTAAAGGAAATCCACAATTTCCTAAAGTCCTCAGGAAGGTAGGGAGATTTTAACAGCATGAGGAAACATACAGGGAAAAAGTTCATTTTCTTGATTGTAATGATGGCTTCAGTGCTTTACCAAATTTTTCACTTGTTTTGTTTTGCCAGGGTCTTACTATATTGCACAGGCTGGCTTCAGACTCCTGTGTAGGTGGGACTGTAGGCACACTACCAGACCGAGGTCCAAATTGTATACTTTACTAAGTGTACTTTGGTGCATGTAAATTTTAGATTATACTTAAATAAAGCTTTAAAATGGGAGCTCAAAATAATAAGCCTAAATGCTCTGTTTGTCCTGGAAGATTAGGTTCATAACCTGATGTGGACTGCACCATTGCTTTCCTCATGCCCTGGGAAGTGCAGCTGTTTCAGTGGTAGCAAATATTGGCAAGCAATAAAAGCCTATGCCAGTTGAAACAGGAATGCTATGTCACAAAGCTACACCCTTAAACTACCAAATCATTTCTCTCTAGTCTTATTTTCCTGTCTGCACGCCTATTTGGGATTTCCCCAAAACTGGATCAATCATTCCTTCACACTTACCTCACTAGTCTGCTTATAAATCACCCCACACAATGAATGGAACTTTCAAAACTGAAAGTGCATTAACAAAATGACTTTTACTAAAGGATCATTCATTAGTTCAATGTGCAGCAAGCAGTTTCCAGGCTACTAAGTTAGATCCCAGAAAAATTCATCACAAGCATGATGTGAGATCAACAATGCCCACGAACAAGATGATTCTTCTTAGCAAGCTGACAACACAACTATGACCAAGCACTCTGGACCAAAACTGTTAAGGGCCGTGCCCTAAAGGCAGATACAAGAAAATGAGGAGCCACCAAATGCTGAGGAGTGCCAGTTTCCCCAAATAGGAGAATACAAGGTTTGCTTCTCTGTGCACTCTGGGGTAGTTAACTCACGCACACAGGGTGTGAACTTACCAGGTGGTAAAGGTGAAATGGATTATACCACAGAAATGGGCAGTGACATAAATCAGGCTATGGCCCTGAGCACATTAGAAACTCTAATCAGTCTCCTCAAAGCTTTGAGCTTCCTCAAAGTGATGGAACTCACACTGAGGAAATTCACATGAATGATGTTCACATTTAGATAGGGCTCCCTTGGTCTCCTGCCATGTTGTTAAATTTAGAAATGGAATAGAACATTTCCTACACATTGCAAGCCTTTCTTAGGCATGAACTTGCAAGTGACGAGTCAGATTAGATTTGCGACGAAAGGATTTTTCACATTCACTGCACTTATAAGGCCTTTCTCCAGCGTGAACTCTTTGATGCTGAATGAGGTCAGATTTGTGAGTAAAGGGTTTCCCACATTCACTG